CTTATTTTCGGAGGATATCTTATTTTTGGGGAATCACGGTATTACTATGTGAAGTCATAGCACATCCAGACCAGACATCTCCAACATATGCCTTAGGAGCAACTTATGGGTGGTATTCCGTTATACTGCTTTTGCATGCATTAGGATTGTGATGACCTGTGGTGATGCACAAGATAGCTCCAATTTGTCCAAAGGGACTCTTAGGAAGAGCGTCAATGTTTCAAAATTTCTTTGGTCTCCCTCATGTGCCCTTGTTGGTGCAAATAAGAGAAAAAATGCCAAGATTCAAACATTTTTCAAAATTCCACCATGTAGCCAGAGCCAACAAAAGATACTATTATAAGTTTCTAAACTTGGTGACGAAAACACCTTCTTTCTCTCCCCCTGCCCCTTGTCCCATATCCCCCAACTCTCAACCTTAGAGTGTGAACAGGATTGTGAATATAATGGGCTTTCACTTCCATTAGTTAAGTTATTGGGGGAAAATGAAGGGATTTTTCAAATGTAATTAAAGTCCTTAATCAGTTGGATTTTAGTTAATCAAAAGAGAAAACATTGTTGGTGGGCCCGAACTAATCAGGTAAGGCTTTAAAAGGACTCCTAAAGGGCGAGAGTTAAAAGTGTGAGGGAGATTATTCTGCTGGCTTTGAAGAAGGACCTGAGGGCTGCCTCAAGGACTGAGAATGATCCCTGTTAAGAACCACAAGAGCCGAAACCGGTTTGGCTCAGTGGATAGAGCGTCGGCCTGCGGAATGAAGGGTCCCAGGTTCGATCTGGTCAAGGGCATATCCCCAGTGAGGGGAGGAGGCAGCTGGTCGATGTTTCTCTCTCATTGATATTTCTAGCTCTCTATCCTTCTTCCTTCCTCTCTGTAAAAAAAAAAAAAAAAAAAAAAAAAAAAAAAAAAAAAGAACCAGCAAGAAAATAGGGATATTGCCGAAACCGGTTTGGCTCAATGGATAGAGCGTTGGCTTGGGGACTGAAAGGTCCTGGGTTCGATTCTGGTCAAGGGCATGTACCTTAGTTGCGGGCATATCCCCAGTAGGGGGTGTGCAAGAGGCAGCTGATCGATGACTCTCTCTCATCGATGTTTCTAACTCTATCTCTCTTCCTTCCTCTCTGTACAAAATCAATAACATATATTTAAAAAAGAAAAGAAAAGAAAATGGGAATATCAGCAAAGAACTAAGTTCTGTCGTCACCTATATAACTTTGAAAATGACTCTGAACAACGGGTGAGAATACAGAGGGCTGGACCCCTGAGTTCAGCCTGGTAAGACACTGAGCAGTAGACCTAGCTACCCTGTGTCTAAAGTCCTGCCCGACAGAAACTTCAAGCTGATCAGTGTTGTTCTAAAGTTGATAAATGTATGGGATTTTGTTATACAGCAATAGAAACGAATGCAAGAGGATATCCTGAACACCATTTTGATATCATATAGGCCAATATTCAAATGTCCTACAACCTCAGAGAAACAGCATATCCACCAACCAGAAGAGGCAAGATGACACATAAAATCGTGCAGGCTCAAGGGCAGTTAACTCTCGGGGCTCTTCTGGCTCAGTTACCGCACAGAGCCAGCCGAGAAACACCAGAAGTTCTCAGTGTCTGCAACATGAACAAGAGACAGCCTTTACCATCTTCACGGTAACTTAGACACTGGGCAACTTCAATGGCAACACTAAACACAAGCATAGGCTACGGAGAAAAGACATTGACTTCTGTTCAAGTTAAAAGATGCGTGGCTACCAGTGTGAGATGAGACCTGCCACAGAAATAACACTGTACTGTTTAAGCAGTAAAACCACATCATCTACCAGCTATACTTGAAGTAGGTAACAGAATCCAGAGACCTTGCAGCACAGGCCACTGAGACCAAGGCTGCCGTAGGCTGTACACGTACAAAGGTCACATTACAACAGGACACCTTAGATGCTAGGTGGCAGATTCAATAGGTAAGCTGTCAGTTGGTGGATGGAAAAACCTTGTAAGGGTCCAGAGAAGCCCAAAGTCAACGGATGAGATGTAGCTGCTGACAAGAAACAAGAGCAAAAAGACCATCTAGGGCAGAGCAGCTATTGGCAGGTGTATCTGTAAGTGTGTACAAGTTTCTGCATTTACCATGGAAGGAGCTTATATTTCACATGAAAGTACATCCTTTGTCTATAAAAGACCCTTCTAAAGCACTGAATTCGTTATAAAACCAGGGCAGCTCTCGACACCATTATAACTGGAAGCACCCGGAACACGTCGCTGTTAATGACGTGAATCACGAGGACAGCTGTAGAATTCCATGACCATGTTACCCTGTTTCCCCGAAAATAAGACAGTGTCTTATATCAATTTTTTCCTCCCAAAGTTGCGCTAGGTCTTATTTTCAGGGGATGTCTTATCTTTCCATGCGCTAGGTCTTATTTTCGGGGAAACACGGTATTTACTTTTCCATGACTTATCCCAATTTCAAGAACTTTTGGATTCCACACGTGCAGGTTTGGTTCAGAAAGCATGTCAGGCCCTAACCGGTTTGGCTCAGTGGATAGAGCGTCGGCCTGCGGACTCAAGAGTTCCAGGTTCGATTCTGGTCAAGGGCATGTGCCTTGGTTGCAGGCACATCCCCATTGGAGAGTGTGCAGGATGCAGCTGATCGATGTTTTTCTCTCATCGATGTTTCTAACTATCTCTCTCCCTTCTTCTCTGTAAAAAGTCTGCAGCCGACGTTCTACCACTGAACCAAACTGGTTTCGGCTATATATATATATATATATATATATATATATATATATATATATATATATTAAAAAACGAAAGAAAGAAAGCATGTCAGTCCTAAGTGCTGTCCGTGGCAAGATCCATCTGTGAGACACTAAAAGCTCCAACATAGTCCTCAGGAAGCAGGCTGCCTGCAGGTGCTTATTCTCACTCTCGTGAAGAGAGTCTGTCCTGTTCAGACAACACAGGTTTCTCTGCTTTAATGTGGCTAATTTTCCCATCTCCATATATAGTGCCCACTGCACACCTGTCCCTTTCAATTAGCACAGAGAAAAATTTGCTCTCCAAGCTCTCGCCAGAGAGGCCGACATTTATTTAAACACCGTCTACTTCTTTGCCAAAACCGGTTTGGATAGAGCGTCGGCCTGCAGACTGAAGGGTCCCAGGTTCAATTCCGGTCAAGGGCATGTACCTTGGTTGCGGGCACATCCCCAGTAGGGGGTGTGCAGGAGGCAGCTGATCGATGTTTTTCTCTCATCAATGTTTCTAACTCTCTCTCTCTCTCTCTCTCTCTCTCTCTCTCTCTCTTCCTTTCTGTAAAAAATCAATAAAATATATTTTTAAAATAAAATTAAAAAATAAACACTGTCTACTTTCTGCCAGAGCTCTTATGATATTTGACAGACATGGAATTAGGGAGATAATCTATCCATTCTTACAGGAAGTCTAAATTTTATCAAATTAGATATCTGGTCCTTATGTTGCTTGTGACATGGTCCATTGCAGCAGAGCAAAAGACCTTCAGGCCTTCCTATCCCTCCTGGTTTAAGAAGTAACAGCAGATTGGGCCAATCGTGGTCCATCTCAAGGTGCTCATGTCCGTGAACTATACCTTGAGATACCCGAGTTAAAGGACGTGAAAGCTGTGTTATTTGTGACTCCCTCTGTCCTGCTCCTCACTCTCTGTCTTCAAGATGAAATGCCTTTACTAAATTACCTCAGACATGTTGATGTCATACCTTTTTTCTTGAAAAGTGGATGTAAGGAAAGGACACATTGAAGAATATTTTGACAAACCTGCACTGATGACAACATTGCCCATTATATTTTCTCCTTGCATAAGAGCCAATAGTTCTCCAGCCAGTGTTTCTAAATGGTGAGAGCATTGGCCTCCACACCAAAGGGTCTCAGGTTAAATTCTGGTCATTCCCAGGCAAGGGCACATACCTGGGTTGTAGGTTCGGTCCCTACCAGATTGGGGCATGTGCAGAAGGCAACTGATGAATGTATCTCTCTCACATCCATGTTTCTTTCTCTCACTTGCTCTCTTTGCCCGCTTCATCCTGCCCTTTCATCCTCTCTACAAATATATGGGAAAAGTATCCTGCGGTGAGAATAACAACAAAAAATGGCCAATAGAAGAAACTGCTTCAAAAATGTAATACCATAAAAGATAATAAATTTATCTAGTTAAAATAAGTTTTTTTTTCTTATTAATCCTCACTCAAGGACATGTGTTTATATTGATTTTAGAGAGAAAGGAAGGGAGAGAGAGAAAGAACGATTAATCACTTGCCTCCCATAAAAACCCAGTCTAGAATCCTTTGGAGCCACTTGCCCAAGGCTAGGTGGAACCAAGTTTTACTTTATCACTCAGTGAGAAATACTGGCAGCCAAAAAACTCAGTTACAGTAACTCTATTGACAGTAAGGTCAATGCTCAATGACAGTAACTCTATTAGCTTTGGGATATATTAAATATATATTATATATCCTTGCTACCTGCATAATTATTTCTATTTGTATTTCAGTGCTCTGCTGATGAAGTGCCTTTTATAAATACCTCAAAAGTATCATTCGTGGATCCTTTTAGGTATGTTTGTTGTACATTTTAAAATATTTAAGTGGAATGCTAAGTACAAAGCTTTAACAATATATTTTTAAAAGCCCAAATCTTATATTTTAAGAGTCAATATAATATGGTGGCTTTTATATAAAAAGCCATACTCTTTGGTTCAAATCTCAAGCCAGCCATTCCTCACTTTGGACAAAGTCTTTGCCTCTCTGTGATTTAGCTTCCTTTTCTCTAAATGTAGAAAGCAAGAGTATCTTCTTAGAGGTCTATTTTGGGGAATAAGTGCATTAATATATATGAAATACTTAGAACACTAAAAACGATGATCTTAGAGGCTAATTTTAAACTTTATCAGCACAAAGTATGACTAAACGTTTAGTCATATCCTTTTAGGCTTCTGAACTTTATCTATTCAAACGCAAGATACAATGCTTACCTACTGTGGCAGATGCTGATGAGAGCAGAGACTTGCCCCAGGATCCCCAGCCTGCCCATCCACCTCCTTGTGGAGGGGAATCCACAGCCTGTTGAAAAACAGATTAGCCATGAGGTCAGTAATTCAAAAACATGCATTGGTTTGAAGCAAAGAGGAGGTTTTTGTTTGATTTTTAAATCACTAAGAACCATTTCTCACTGGCTTGTAGTTTATAGGGCTATAAAAGAATATACCAACCCACATTACAATATGTACTTTGGAACAGAATTGATTACTAGTAATGTTGGCCTCTGACGGTTTGGCATGAAGTAAGAAGAAGGGAGTTTGAAGTTAATCAAAACTCAAATCTCCCATCATCTGGAGAGGGCTGTGGGGGGAAAGGACTTAATATATTAGGGCACAAGAGTGATTTGAAAAAGATCAAAACAACTTTGACTCATGCAATTTGTAGAGAACAAAAAAACTGTGCTCTTCAAGGTAGAGTGAATTTTCAAATCTCTAGGAGCTTTGCCATAGGTGATAGGCAAAGTGTTTAGAAAAGCACCAACGAGTGTGGAAATGGTAGCAGCAACAGGTAGCAGCCTTTTAAGGCAGACACCTTTCAAAGTGTCCAATCCACTCACAATGACCCCTGTAACCATATCTGTCCATGGGCTCAATAGATTCAAATTCTTTTGCTTAGGTGCTTGAATTAGGACTGAGAGACTCTGGTTCCTTGAATGGAAGATGAAAACTCAGGGAATGCAGGGTGACCATATTCTATCCACCATGCTGACTTAGAATTAAGAGAAAGCAGAGTGAGCAGAGTGAAGAAGATATATTCAGAGGGTCTTTCCAATTCCTGATATCTTCTCAGCCCTGGTTCTTCTTTCTCTCTGAGGTTCAGCTGGATTCCTATCTTTGGGTTCCATGAGATTCCTGCATGGTGTGTGTGTGTGTGTGTGTGTGTGTGTTTCTCTTTTCTCCTCCTCTCCACTGATGTATCCCCAAACCCAAGAAGAATGCATAGTATATAATGAGTGGGCAATACATTTATTTGCTGATTAATAACTAAAATTCATCTTTTTTCTTAAGTGTGCAATACTTGCAACCAATGCATTTTGATCCAATTAGTGAAACCATGGCTTTATCTTATTATCTAGGAACTAGATGCTCAGTGCATGAATTTGTGCATGGGTGGGGTCCGGCCAGCCCACCCTATTTGGCACTGATTGGGCCAGGCCAGCTGGGGGGAGGGATCTCAGGCAGTTGGCTGGCCCTGCTCCCTATTCCAACTCCTGGTTGAACTCCTGTTCAAGGGGACAATTTGCATATTAGTTGTTTATTATATATGATACATTCTAAAAATGAGGCAAGAACATATTGGGACTTGGAGAATCATAGATCTTTCACTCCAGAAAGAAAGAAAATAGTTAAGAAGTGAAAAATTCCTTCAAAGTTTGTAAATTCTATAGCTTTTGACCAAAGGCTGGTCTATTAGTCATTTCCAACTCCCTTTTCCCTGATGCTTGCCACTCTTTCAGATAAGAGTGGATGTGTGGCCTGATGGTGTGGCTCAGTTGGTTGAGCATTGTACCAGGTACCGAGATGTCTTTGGTTTGATTCCCAGTCAGGGCACATGCCCAAATTGTGGGCTCAATCCCCAGTAGGGGGCATGTAGGAAGCAGCTGATCTCTCATCGATGTTCTCTTTCTTACTCTTTCTCTCTCTCTTTCCTGTCCTCTCTCTCTAATCAGTACAAATATATATATATATATATATATATATATATATATATATATATATATATATATATATATAATATTTATCTTTTTTATTTCAGAGAAGAAGAGAGAGGGAGAGAGGATAGGAGAGGATAAGAACATTAATGATGAAAGAGAATCATTGATCAGCTGCCACCTGCATGCCCCACACTGGGGATCAAGCCTGAAAACTAGGCATGTACCCTGATTGGGAATTGAACCGTGACCTCCTGGTTCATAGGTTGATGCCCAATCACTGAGCTATACCAGATGGGTCAAACATATTAAAAAAAAAAAAAAAAGAGTAAACATGTGAAACAGTTTTAAATTCATGAATGACAACTGAGAATGCTTTGTTTTCATAATGAATTATAAAGTTATGACCAGTGTCAGCATTTTCCCTCTCCCTTTATCCTGCCCTGGATGTGGACATAATACTTGAAACAGAAGCAGCCATTTTTTGCTGCAATAAGGGAAAGGCCAGGGAATTCCAGACACTGGTGCTGCCACTGCTGAGCTACTAACCCAATGTGAACAGCTGCCTATCTCCATTCTTTTTGTCAAGGGAGAAAAAACACATCCAAATTGCTATTTTATAAGCAACTATAAGTTGGATTTTAGTTACTTGCACCCAAATGCATTCCTAACTGGTTCACCTATAAATATCAAACACTATCTACCAGTGTACACTGCTGGTCAAGAGAAAAGGTTATAAAATTAAATTGCTTATGTTTGACCATAGGCTGTGCCATTTTGGACAACAAGTTACTCAAGTCCTTTAAGCCATTGTTTACTTCATTACAGAACACAAGGTATAGCAGTATAATCACCTTACGTATAAGAACCAATGGCCTCTGAGGTTTATTGTGGAGATTAAAAGAAATAATCACATAAAGCTTGAGCATAGTTCCCTGCATTTAAGAAACACTTCATAAATGTTAACTAGCAATAATAATAATGATTAATAATAACAATAATAAGATACTACATTTTTAAGTCTAAGAAGTAAAAAGCTTTGAAAGTGGCTAACATTTTTTCTATTGGAAACAATGAAAAGCCTGTTAACATGAATGGAAATACTCATGATTCATGACTGAGCTTTCATTTTTAGAGTCTACATTGATTTACTGCATTCTGGCAAATACATATATAATGAAAGCCAATGGCAATTTTATACCATCATGAAGACAGATGTAAGCTGGTGATTAATATCATTCTTTTATGGAAAAAATCACTACCTATGTGATTAAGGAGAATTAATACACTTAAGGGTGACAGCTTCTGACTCAAATTTATAATACTTAATATGTTCTGACAGCTGGTAATTGACTAGCAAATGGAAATAAGTGTGAAATAAATTTGGTACTTTTTGCAATATAAGTGACAACTTCAATTGATTTATTAATAAAGCAATTTTGACATTGAGATGTGACCTCCTAATCAGCTGCGAAGAATATTTATCAGTGGCAAATACTCAAATGACAAACTGTGCACATTTAATACAAAAATCATATAAACTAAATGTTCAGCATGAATTATATACTCACCATGAGTATTGTCTCCACTTTAAATGGCTTTAATGTCACAAACTTTTGAGACTATAAAGTAGACAGACTGGACCTACTCAGATCTTCCATTATCAAATATAGTTATTTTAAACCTTTTTTCTTCTCACCTTCTTGCCATGTAACCCTCACCTCCTTTATCAGACAACTTCACATCCTATTTTACAGAGAACTCAGAAGTCATTTGATGAAAACTCTCTGAATTTCCTTCTCCCTCCTTATACAATCGCAGAAGAATGACCTCAACTCGTACAACTCAGATTTGGCTTGATCAAGAGGAATATCAAAACGCAACTGGAGATCATTTAAACGTCTATAACTATTGTGTAGTCCTAAGGATAGGAAAGAATTCAAGATTCCATTAAGTTTTTAAGGTCTTTAAATAGAAAAGACATGTATATCTCTGGTATCTTATTTAAATATCTTACAATAGAAAATATATTTATTTACTTTAGGCTAAAAAGTTCAATGGTATTATGAGACAGAAAAATGTACAGATTTTAGATTCTATAGAATTTATAGGTCTTTAACATCTATAATAATAAAAGAGAAACATGCAAATTGACCATCACTCCACTATGCCCACCAGCCAATCAGCAGGGAATATGTAAACTGGAAGAACAAAGATGGCAGCTGCCCAGATGCTCCAGGTGCAGAGTGGCTGGGCAGGGCAGGACACCTACTATGAGAGGGAGGACGAGGGGCGAAGGGATCTACAGGAGCGGCATCCCAGCACAGTAAAGATGAAGACTGTTGACTCCAAAGTCTGCAGCGAAGACAAAGATGGCAGACTCCAGCTGGAGTCTGCAGCGAAGATGAAGATGGCAGAGAAGCAGTGAAGACGAAGATGGCAGATTCCGGCCGGAGAGAAGGCCTGGGTCCTGGGTGCCAGAGGAAAGGGAAGGAAGGCCTATTGCATGAATCTCTTTATGCAACTGGCCTTTAGTTTAACTAGAAAATATATGAACTTGTCTTAAGATCAAAGAAAATCTGGTTATCCTATTTCCTTAAGTAGATCAAGAATCAGGTACTGTGTATAACATGTGTCTAAGGATGTGAATGATGAGAGCTACCCTTTTTAGGTTTATAACTCATGACATAGCTTTCCTAAAAGGGGACTTGGTGTGACATTTGGGAGCATGGGATTGCTCTGGATGCCTATAGCTCTGTCAAAATACTGGCTGGAAAATGGCCTCAGTTATTTCCAGGTAATTTTCTTCCTTGGTGAGTATGGATCATCTAACTCTGGGAAGACTTAAAATTAAATATAGAAAGGTTGAAAGCATCAAAGTCAAGCTATTAATATTTTTATACATATTTTGTCTTATCTGTATTACTAAGGTTTAAGGGATTTGACCGATTAGATCATCAACTTTTGAAAACCAATTAAAATGAGTAACTGAATTATCAGATTTTTTATTTTAAGTTGAAATCTTTCTAAAATCATGCATATTATTATAATATCTAAAAGGTCTTTAGTCTACTCTATGAATTTAATTTATTTGTAACCATTCTTAAGCACTCAGCAAAGTTTTAAGGAGATAAATGAAGTACTTAAAAAGAAATAGAACATATTAAATGTGTAGATGCTGTTTTAAAATATTTAAACGTGTTTAAGTTGGTAAAAAGAACCAAACGTTAATCAAAAGCCTCTTGTAAGTGATTGTTCATTTTGCTAGATTTCTAAATAAAAATTTGTGAGATGAATATAAAGCTTAGGGAGGACTGAAATTTCAAATTTGTGACCGTAATAAATTGAACATTAATTACTTAACCCAAAT